GGTTGGAGAGAATAGTCGGATCCGGTGGGCCTCAAAGGAGGAGAAGGATAGAGGGGGGGTTTGGGAGGACCTGGAACGTGCTCAGTGGTGACAAGAGCATACCGATTCCACCACCTCTACAACCGCTCGGTGTGGGTGAATGGGTCCAGATGAGACCTCCATAGGAGAGTGCCGCAGGGGAGGTAGAGTCAGTGGCCTGGATCCAGGTTTCGGTGATTGCTAGGAAGTTGAGGGAGCAGGAGATAAAGGGCTCATGGATGCCGGTGAGCTTGTTGCAGACCGATCGGACGTTCAGGAGTGCACACGAGAATGGAGGGGTGGTTGTGGGGAGCAGGGGGACAGGTATTAGATTGAGGGGGTTGTGGCAGTTTGTGGAAGTAGGAGGGTGCCTAGTGGGTGAGTAAGGTGGTGTTGCTCACTCTTAAATCCCTTTCTCCAAGTTCATTGACGGACTCAGCACTCACCCCCACTATTGAAGTTATACTTCTGACACTGCTTTGTAACTGAATGCCCTAAAGCAGAGAGGGAGTTATACCAGCTAGGACTGACCATAGGCGGTGCTGTGTTCTCTTTGTGCCTAGTGTCCTACTCCTGTAGTTGGAAGTATAACCCTATGGTTGAGAATAAGAACTGTGTCTGTCAATGATCTCCAGAGAAAGGGATTTTATGGTGAGTGACAAAAAATCCTATTACTTTGTTGATTGGTTAAGACTTGAACACAAAAAAACACCAAAAGTGACCATAACTTTAAAAACAAAATTCGAGAGATCCAAAAATACATGTAACATATGGTTGGCTAACATTGCTGACTCCGTCTGAGTGCGAATGGCAGAGGAATAACAGGAGTCCACTTTAACCCCTTGGCGCTGAGCGTAGGTAAATATGCAGTCCGGGTGGACTTGGCTTCTTTCTGTGAGGTCACATATTTGCGTTCTTGTCTCTGTGTTGGGAGCGTGCCGCATGGGTTCTCATCAGGGTGGATAAAAATCAAAAAAATCGGATTTTTTTTTATTCAAATTGGATGTTTTTGATTCAAATTGCATGTTTTTGATTCAAATTGCATGTTTTTGATTCAAATTGGATGTTTTTGATTCAAATTGGATGTTTTTGATTCAAATTGGATGTTTTTGATTCAAATTGGATGTTTTTGATTCAAATTGGATGTTTTTGATTTTGGATGTTTTTGATTCAAATTGGATGTTTTTGATTCAAATCGGATGTTTTTGATTCAAATCGGATGTTTTTGATTCAAATCGGATGTTTTTGATTCAAATCGGATTTTATTAAATAAAATTATTTTTGAGGAAAAATATATTACCATCCAAAGGTTATTCCATCATGAAATAAAGATTATTTTTTTTAATTATGTAGAATAAGGCTGTATATGTTTAATTTTTTTTGGTAAATAAATTCCATGAATCCATTCACAATGTCATGCTCTTCCAGAGGTTTTTGTAAGATTATTGGGCAGTTTCTCTGCCTACAAGATATTATCACAGATGTTGGTTTACTTTTGCAGTTCTCAAAACTGAATTTGACTCAGCGGAGATCACATGCCTCTTCTTCACAGCAAAAATGTTATAACATGAACAGAGTTAAGAAAAAGACCTTAATCCTAACTTCTACAAACCTATGAATACAGAATCAACCCCTTCAGTGCTAAGTTTCAAGAAGTTCAGTGAATAGAATATTTTTCTGATTGTTTGGAGTGGAATAGATCTGCACAAGAAGAAAGTGAAACTAAGTGTGAGGAGGAAGGGGGGCTGACAGTCTAAGTTTCTTAAAATATATATATTTTGTTTTAGCCAAATTAGTTAACAAACATGGATGTTTGTTTAAGCAAATAACATATGCTGTAATGTTATTGTTTCAGTTGAATAAATCTATTTAAATTGTTATTATTAAGGTAATGATTATTTTTCTCCTTCTTAAGTACAACTGAAAAGTTGTCCAAATATGAATGATTAACCTATTAAACTGGGGATAAAAAAACTAATATGAAAAGTTGTTGTTCTAAAAATCTTCATCTACTTGCATATTAAAGTTATACCAGCAAGAATTAGTCTTTATGTAGAAAACTATGATTTAAATCAAGCCTTACTGACTACTGATTTTAAATCATGATTTAAAGCGTGATTTAAATCCGTTTGATTTAAATCAAATCCACCCTGGTTCTCATCAAAAGCCCCAGTAACGATCGGGACCCAGAACTCTCGATTCCGGGACACCTGGTCACTGTGAAGCCCGCCCTCATGTTTTCTCACTGTGAATGGAGGAGAGAAATGCATTGTATCTCTCTCCTTGCAGAGAGGGAAAAAAAAAAAAAAGTGTGTATAAGAAAAAAAAAAAGAATAATAAAAAAAATAAAATCAGATTTGATCTATTTCAGTGCCAGGGTTATTGTTGGGGTCGGGTCGGGGTCAGTATTTTTTTTTTTTTTTTTGGTCAGGATTTTTTTTTTCTACATTTTTGAAATTGTATCTGTGTGTTTTTAAGTCGGTTAAAAGAAAACAAAATTGTGCACTACTGTTTCTGTGCCATACTACGGGTACAAACAACTACTAACATACACATATGTAGTATCACTGTGATTTTCAGGAGCAGAAGAATTTATTTTGGGTTGTTCTTTAGCTGTATATTTCTTACTACTACCATAACCTACCACCGAATTTAAAGAAAAAAAAAAAAAGAGTTTTCTTACAATTTTTGGTCAGTTTTCCTCTGAAAGAAAATGAAAACACAGTTTGTCCTGAAAAAAAAAAACAAAAAGTATAATCCACCGGGATGCACAAAGTAGATGTGTTGATATGTACTGTTTTTTTACTAACACATGTCAAAGTTGCAAAATTGTGCTTAGACATTAACATTTGTTATACCCTTAGGCGCAAAGCGATAAAGTAGAACATTATTTAATTTGGATAATGCAAGGGAGGGTTATAACCTGTCAGATTTTTTTTTTTCCCCATCTGTGTTCCATTTTGGAGATTTTCCTTCACTTCCTGTCCCGTATCCAAACAGGAAGTGAGAGAAAATCCTTGCAAATTAGGGTATTCCTTGGGGACCTCCAGGTCCCCTCTATTACTTTTTTGGGGACAACCTATAATTTGGGATTTTCTTTTACTTTCAATGATGGTAAACAGGACAAATAGAGAGGGTAAATCTCCCTAACAGGCACAGAGAGCAATAAAAAAAATCTGATAGGGGTTCTAATCCCTATCCACTCTATCCAAAACTAAATATAAAGTTTTAGTTATACTTTATACTTTAACCACTTCCAGACCGGACACTTTTACCCCCTTCCTGACCAGGGCAATTTTCAGCTTTTAGCGCTATCATACTTTGAATGACAATTGCGTGGTCATGCAACACTGTACCCAAATTAATTTTTTACTATTTTTTTGAGACAGATAAAGCTTTATTTTGGTGGTATTTATTCACCACTGGGATTTGTATTTGTTTTGCTAAGTAAATGAAATGTCCAAAAATTTTGAAAAAAAAGTGTTTTTTTTTAAATAAAATTTTGCAAATAAATAATATTTCATCATAAATCTTAGCCAAAATTTATTCCGTTATCTTTTTAGTAAAAAAAAAAAAAATCCAAATTAGTTTATAAGCAAAAATTCTCTTTCTCTCTGTGTGCATTCTTGCACTCATTGAGAAGTACTGAGTGAGCTGTGATTGGTCATAGCTTGTCACATGGTACAAGGCTTTTGTGAATAGCCTTGTACCATGTGACCTCTGTGATCATTCACAGATTTCACACGTAGTAAGCAATGATGTCAGAAGTGACATCTTGCTTACTACTTTGCATGTGATCACTGATTGGCCAATCAGTGATCACATGATCGGGACCTCGTACAGAGGTCCCGTCCGACGATCGGTGTTTCACTGTGTCCAAGGGAGCGCGCACAAGCAGGGGTCGGGGAGACTGCACTGTAATACAAGATTGGAGCAAATTTTTTTTTCTCTTTCTATGTAACTATGGAGAGGAATATATATTATGATCCTGGCTACCATCGGAGGACACAGCGGGCACCGGATCGCGGTGCTGTGCGCTCCCAGGGAGCGCGCACAAGCAGGGTGCGGGGAGGCCGTTTATAGACGGCCACCCGACCCTGCAGTGCCACCGTCCGGCCGTTTATATACAACGGCCGGACGGGAGGTGGTTAAAGAATGATTTTCTTGGTTCTTGCAATGGCTGTTTATATTTGGAAGTGTCAAATCTGAGTCATAAAATTATCTTCTTGGTGAAGATAGAGTAGGTTGTGAAGTGTTGTTATGATACACTTATTTAAGTGACCCTGTCTGAGAAGAAAATCTAACAGAAGCAGCATGTAGAAGAAGTGCAGCATAACTTATCCGACACACATGTACTGTAAGTGCTGGATGTCTGTGGTGCACATAGCTCTGCAAGAGAGCAAAGGTTGAACTCTCTGCCTGTTGTACAGTATAGGCTGCTTCTTTTTAAATTGTTTGATTTTAGTTAGAGTAGCATCAAGATAAGATACTAGTCAGCCCCTCCAAACATTGTTTTAATTAACACCGGACTTTTCTTAGCAATAAACACGTTTCAGTGGCAATATGTAAAATGGGCAGAACTTATTTATATATGAGCCTACCACTCAACTGGAGCAAAACATTTTTAATTTAAGTTTCAGATTTGGTTAGAGTTGAGAGGTGTTCAAATCTCCGTGAGGCTTTTTCTTTTTGTGTATTGCTTTTTGAGAGATTTTGCTTTACTTCTTTTCTGGTGGCAGGAAGTCAAAGAAATAGGAAGTGATTTTCTCCATTGGGAAAAGAGATGGCAATAAAACCCTTTTTAGAATACTTGGGAGAGTTTAACATTTATTTATTTTTGTCCTGGTGACCATTACCCCTTTTAAAATTTAAAAGGTTAATATACTGTATGTTGTGCTATCATTATGGCCACTCATCACAAAGTTTTTTACCATTGCAAATAGCAAAAATCGTTTTATTTGTCCTGACCCATTTTACTTCAGTGATGAGGCAGAGCAGGTTTGGGTATGGGAATATGAAACCGAAGAAGGAGCTCATGATCTGTACATGGATATCGGAGAGGACATCAGATTCCGTGTGGTAGATGAGACCTTCATAGATACATCACCTACTGGACCCAGCTCTGCAGATGCTTCATCCTCTACAGATACTGTAGAGACACAACGCAAGGAGGCTCCATACACATTAGTGGTGAGGGCCATTATTCTGAAAGTATCTTAGACGTAATGTTTGTTTAAAGTGTGCCTACGGCCAGAATTTTAATCATATAACTTATGTATTTTAATTATAGCCTTTTATTAATTTGAATTGTAAACCTGCTTTGTGACGATTCCGGGTATAAATGCCTTCTAGGCCAATTTCTTTCTGGTTTAGGGCCCTAGTTAACCCTAGGAAGTTACTCATGTGGACCTCCCTGTTTAACCTCCCTAGCGGTCTGATTATGTCCATATTTCTGTGCTCAAAGCGGTACATTTTTTTGCATGGAAATATTTTTTTATTGTAGGCCTGTAATTTTTAGGAATAACTCACTGAAATCTGTCTGAACAAGAGTCTAGTAAAACATCCCGGGTATGATAAAACTTGAAACACGAAATCATAAATTATAATTTAATAAATAATCATAAAAAATAATATAATACATTTAATTCAATAATATAATCAAACCAAAAACACTGAAATTTGAAATATAGCGCCCAGTTCGCACATCACTGAGCAAAGTCGTAAAATCGTTTTCAGTGTCTGATGACGAATTTCCCCACGAATCATCACTCAATTCTGCAAGTAGTTCTAATTTACTATCGCTGTTTTCTAGCTGGTCTAAAACCGCTTTTGACCTAAAGGGACGCTTTTTGGACGCCATGGACTTTTCTCAGTTTCCAGGCAGAAAGAACAGTAAAAATGCAGGCAGGGCACAGGACAAAGCACTAGGGACAAAATGTATGTGAAATGGTTTGATACAGTAATGTTTTAGTATGTGATTTTAGTGAATGTGTCACTTTTTATCATTTTCAAATTTCCCGCCGTTCCGTCCCCCGCACGTCCCGGCGCTCGCAGGGGACGGAACCCAGATGACAGATGCCGGCATCCGCCGGATTACATTGCCGGGGACACTGCAGGAGGGGACATCGCGGGAGCGAAGGACAAGGTAAATGATCGAGGGATCGCAGAGCAGTGCCGCATGGGAAGCCCGAGTGTAGCTCGGGGTTACCGCTTGTGGTACTGAAACTTTACCCCAAGCTACAGTCGGGAATACCGCCAGGGAGGTTAATCTGACCCTAATTTGTAGCAACAGAATCCCAGTTATGCAACAGACTTTTTCAAGGCATATTAATTCCTAAAATAATTTTATGACTAGTTGTATTTTAAATGAGAACTACAATCTTGTCATAAAATAAGATCAACAATATAGTTTGACTCTTCCTGTTTTTTAAACCTGAGAGTACTTTATTCAATGCCCAAGTAAAAGTCTAAATTGTCTTTCAGTGGCAGCAAGGAGCTAATTTTATTTTTTAATGATGCAAAGTGGGAAATTTTCATTGAGGAAAGCTCTTAGCAGCCAAGGAATGGAGCTAACTGACAAGTATTTGTGAAAGTGCTTCTGTCTCAACTATAGATTTCCATTGAAATTCAAACCTCCTATAGGGGGAACATTGGTAGGCAAGATAGTGTGTAGCTTTATATTTGACAAAGTCCTCCCACCTTAGGCTGTTACGCACTTTAAGATTGAATTACCGAGTCTTTCACCTCTCCATACAGTGGCTTTACTATAATCTGGTTGCTGTATACTGTGGGAACTGAAGAGGAAAATGTAAGAGGTACTTTATTTGGTTCACAGATTATTTTTTACAGAATAAATTCTGATACACCATAATATTATAGGGAGGAATCTTTTTCCAAGTTTGCATAAAGAATATTTAGTGATGAACGGTAATTGTTTCATATAAGATATGTTTGTCCCTGGCTATTTTTTAAACCCGGTTAATATAACAAGTTGGTTTGCCAGGAAACGTTTGTTTGAAGGACAACAAATGAGATGCTGGTATGTTAGTCAATCATGTTTACTGAGAATCCTGAATAGGTCTTAAAATAGGTAAGTTTAATAATGACAGGTTATTAAGCAGGATATTTTTAGTAAAGAGCATTACTTTTTTTCTGTCTGCCTATCTGAACCCTGCTGACATCCCTTTATAGAACCGTTAGAGAATAAAAACTTGCAACAAAGTGGGGAAACAAGGAAATTACAACTGGTGCTGTCTTAGCAACTAAATTGTAGCCCTGGGGCCCCCAATCCCAAACAAGAGTGATGTGGTCTTTGTCATGCAGTCTCCTGGGATACTACACCGCATTGCCCAGGAGGCTAAAGGACAAGGGACACAGAACAGCCAGAGGGCGTCATTGGGCTGACTGCCTAAACCCAGGATAAGACCGCTATCTCCCATCAGTGAGCAGGACTAAGATGGCTGAGCAGATCACAGCAGGATAAAGCTGGATTCCTTGGATGGGTATGTGTTTTGAAGAAGACCCAACCATAGGGGTAAGGTAGGGGAGAAAAAATGGGGGGAGTGCCAATTCTCAAGAAGTGTTTTATGAAAATGAAAATAATTATTTTTTGATGATACATATATCTCCTGTTTTCTACAGTCTTAAATTTAAAGAAAGTTGTAAATTGTTTGTTACCTTTTTAGGGTTCCATAAGTGAGCCAGGCCTGGGCCTTCTTTCTTGGTGGACCAACAACTGAAGAAATAGGAAGTGGCACTTGATTATATAACTAAAGTACTCAACCCTCCACAAAGTTGAAAACAGAATGCCATCTCTCTTGTGGCCAAAGAAGTCTTCAACAGCCAAGACACTGGGGAAAAACGTGAAAAAGGATGCTGGAAATAAGCTGTTAAGATCTGCTGTTATATATGGCATAGAACAATCTACGTTTTCTATGTGTAGAACTTCCATCTAAGGTGTGGAAATACACATGAAAGACTTTAAAGATATGAATGTTTGATTTTTTTTTTTTTTTTTTGCAAGGATGAAGTGGAAATAAAATTACTTGAAAACCATCAGTCATCTGCACATATAATTTTTTTGTTAAAGGCCAACAGGTGAACTAAACACTTCTGCAGTTAGATCCAACCATGGGCATAGATAAGGGGGTGCCAGGGGAGTATAACCCCCCTCCCCCCCCCCCCAAGGCATCCTGTCAAAATGCCACATGTCTCTGCCCTGCTGTCACACATGGCCCCAGCACCGCTCAACAGAATGCAGCCTAGCAGTCAGTGATGGAGTGATCACAGTGTAGTAGGCTGGGCAGAACTTATGCTCTTCTACACTGGCAGGCAGGGCTGACAAATCACAGTGATGTTTCCAGCATGGCAGGGTGGTGCCTGTAGTGCTACCCACCGCTCTCTACATTTTGTTTTCCTGCAGCTGCCCGCTTTCACACCTTAGTTGGAGAGGAGCCTGGCCTGGAGGGCAAAATGCACAAAGCTGGTAGTCTGTAGTACTCTGTGCCTGCAAACTGCAGCTGAGCTTCCGTGCCACACTTTGGCCTCACTCATTTTCACTGACTGTTATGGATCACTTACCACTGCTGTGCTACCATACATAGGTAAGTTGCAGTTATAAACGGACTGGCTTTTCCTCTGTTTGGGGCCCCTTAGCCCTCTAACTTGGCAGTTGACACCACAACATCTGCCAGAACCAGATTGGACTGTCTGCTGCCCTCTAACTTTTTTTATTGCATGAAAAATGATTGTTTTCAGCTGAAACATTCATGGGCTTGTAATACTAATAGTCTAGGGAGCAGTGACTACTTTAATAACATAGGCTATACTGCACACATTGGCACTGAGAATCTCTAATTACATGTCCTGCTTAAAGCAGATCTATACCCATAAATAGAAAATACCTCCTGTTCACCCTTCCTCCACTCCCCTACCTCTAAAGGGCTTTTTTTTTTTCTTTCTTCAGGAAGAGTTCAGGCCTATCTCCAATACATGTCATTTGCCTATGCATAGGACATGTACTGTGCCTCCTGGGATATGTACATCACTTATCCCAGGAGGCCTTTAGTGTTTCATTTGCAGAGGAGGTGGGCGGGCCTAGCGGTGCATTAGTGGGAGCATTCCTAATGACATCACATATAAACATGGTGGTGTGGGACCTGAGTGCTGGCTGCTGAGAAGATCTCAGCAGGAAAATGCTAGATCAGCTGGGTGTGTGACTATCCAAACTGTGGAGAAACCAAAAAAAGATAAGCAGGGGTGAAAAAAAGGGGGGTTGAGGGAAAAGAAAAATCAATGTATGTTTTTAATTCTGTAATAGATTGAGAACTAAGGACGTATGAACACTGCACAATAGTAAAAAGTTTATGTGCTGGGTGTAATTCTCTGTGGCTGTTCTTATTGTGTATGCATGTTGCACAGTACCACTTCTTCTCTTGTCCTGTATGCCAGGTGTATTCTCAGTATCTGTTCATATTCTGTACATATAGACATCACAGTACCACTTCTTCTCTTGTCCTGTAAGCAAGGTGTATTCTCAGTATCTATTCTTATTCTGTACATATAGACTGCACAGTACCACTTCTCTTGTCCTGTATGCCAGGTGTATTCTCAGTATCTAATATGTAATAACAATATGCAGTGCTCATATATATTAGAAATTAACCTGATCGCATACATTAAATATAAATTAAGCAAGATTCATGATTAAAATAAAGCATTAGAATATAAACATATTAAACTCGTGACTTCTGTGGTACATCCGAGGTTGAGAAACCAGAGGGAAGTTCGTGACTCTTGTGGTGAAAAAACTGAGAATAGCACTAACCAGATGTCTCAGCGCATGGAGTAATTAAGACCTACTCCTGGTACTCTGAAAGGAAGCCACTGAAGAGGATGATGTCATCTTATCTCTCGCCACTAGATGTCATGTTCCCAGGACAGCAGGACGGGGATCCCAGAGATATACATCAGCCAATGGAGGGATTAATCCAGCAAATCAGTCCGCAACCCACAGGAGACCAAGAGGAATCGAGCACCTTCAAAAAGCCCGGGCTCCCTCCAAAATAAGAGAGCCACAGGCCAGAAGCTTTGATAGTGTAGTATGTATTTATTTAAGCAGTAATTTCAAAATGGTAAAACACACTTACAAATTTCAAATTGCAGGAACATAGGGCAGCGAAGTGGTAAGTCCAGACAGTTGGGGGGCACCCTCCTGATGCGTTTTGTGTGACACACACGTTTTCAAAGGGGGTGCATTGCAGAAAAACGATCAAATTTAAAGCCTGCGGTGCGCATACACAGTACGCACCGATGACGTAATTGCGGCAAGGTCACGAGTTTAATATGTTTATATTCTAATGCTTTATTTTAATCGTGAATCTTGCTTAATTTATATTTAATGTATGCAATCAGGTTAATTTCTAATATATGAGCGCTGCATATTTTTATTACATACTATCCAAAGTTTTTTGAGGTTCACTTTCTATGCTAGCAGCTCAATTAATTAATTTATTAATTTACATATTCATCTATTCATCCGATTAACTATTAGACACCTAGCGCTGTTGCACTTTATTCCATTTTTGACCAGTTTCACCTCATTTACTAGCAGCAAGGTGTAGCTTGGATTAATATCTATACCTGTAATGGATATTTTCGAATACAGATCAAATAGATCCATTATTACAGATGATGTGTTTACTCACGATAAATTGTCCAATGACTGGCATGGTTTGTTTTTACATCTATCTAATCACACCACCTCTGAGATTCGCACATTATGGGATATCTCCTTTTTAGAAAAATATTTAAAAGAAGGCATGGTCCCAAGATCTCTTAGATGGGACATCCCTCCAGAAGTAGGAGACATTAACAGCGAATCAGAGTGGTATATATTTTTTAATACTAAAGGCCTTGAACTACTTGAATTCCTTTTAACAAGGAAAAAAAAGAAATTGGCTTATTTAGATACAGAAATTAACAAAACCAAGGATCTGCTTGTTCCTTATATGGACAGAGAAGAATATAAAGTTGAATCTGAGAAATTAAAAAGCTTACTGGAAAAGACAGAAAAAGAACAAAAAATTAAGAAAAAGAAAAAGTATACTAGAGACTATTATGATTATAAAGAAAAATCCGTCTTTAAATGGGAATCAGCTAATTATGATTTTGTATCTGGAGATGTATCTAAGGTGGTTCATCCATCTATCCACCACCAGCCCTCTAAAGATCCCAAACCCAAAAAGGGACCTTTACCCCCACAGACACCTATCTTTAGAAAGAGGGACTCCTCTTTTGTCTCACCTGGACCCTTGGTTCTTAAACCAAGCTACAACATTCCTATATCTAATAGATTTGCCCCTTTGATTAATTATCATCACACTCCCCGTAACAATGATAGGCAATCAGGTACTTACCCTTACCATGATTACAGGCGGCGATCTTATTCCCGATCCCCCATTAGAATTAACACTCATCCCCCTAGAGCAAGGTTCCAGTCCCCGCTGCCGGATTATTATCCGCAATATAGTGAGGATAGAGGGGGTAATGGCTATTGTTACTATGATGATTATCATCATGAATATTCTCATCAGACTGGTGGACCTCACAACAGAACTCCGTCACGGAGTCGGATCTACCAGCTACAACATAGACCATATTATAATACATCACATAACTCCAGAAACCCACATCCACATTGCTCCCCTCATCCACATTCCCATAATAAGGCTCCTAACAGAGGACCTCCCGCCAATATACAACACCCAAAGCCTCATCATAATGGATATAACCATTTTTTAGAGCAGGGCCCAGGGAGAAAAAGAAGTTGGCGACAAGAGGAAAGCGAGGAAGAGCGAGGGTTAATAGACAAAAAGAGAAGGACGTAGTGGAATCTGGTGTTTTTAACCTCAGCAACCAAACACTCACTAAAAACGAATTGACGCTTTTAAATAAAGGGCTAAAATTTGCTCCATCTGCAAAACTTAATAAATTTGGTACATTTATAGATGTACACAAGTTCACCAGAAAATTGGCATTAAAAAGACATTTTATTAACAATCCTATAAGGAGCAACACTACTCCGATCTCAACTGGTACTTTTAAATCTTCCAATCTTAAAAATGCTTCCCTTTTTAATCCTCCAGCACATTCCCATATTACAATTTTTAAGAATATGGTTTTAAATGATCTTGAAAAAACCAAAGTCAAAAAATATCATGACCAGTTACATATTGATAACACAATTAAGAATCTATTAGAAGAAAAAGATCTAGTAGTAAGGCCCGCCGATAAGGGAGGAGGGGTCGTGATAATGAACAGAACTAATTATCTTGCACTAGTTAGTAACATCCTAGAAGATAAAGAAACATACATGCTTCTTAACAACAATCCGTTATTTGCCTATAAAAAATCATTAAAATCTTTAATTAATACAGGGTATGAAGCTGGTATCCTGAATAAGAAAGAAAAAGATTATCTATGCCCTACTGTTCCAAAATTGCCTGTAATTTATTGTCTTCCAAAGATCCACAAGGATCCTATCAACCCCCCAGGCCGCCCTATTGTAAGTGGCATTGGGTCGCTCTGTGCACGTGTTGGAGAATACATGATAGATGGCTTCCTCCAACCTCTGGTGATTAATACTCCAGCCTTTCTAAGGGATTCAAAACAAGTGTTATCTGTTATTAAAGATATTAGACTGACTAAACCGACCTATTTAGTAACGGCGGATGTCTCC